GCCACGGGTGAACAAATGGAGCCGAGCGTGGGAAGAGCCGCTTCCCGTCTCACTGATTCTGCGCGTGGCCACTTCCACTCTCAAGTCACAGTGTCCCTGTCCTGGCCCCCGTTAGGGGAGGGCTCGCCCGAGGTGAGGCTGAGACCCTGCCCGGTTCTGGAAGGAGCCCTGAGGAGTGCCTTGGAAGGAGGGGAGGGCAGGAGGCCTGGCAGGGAGAGGGGCACCCTCGAGGGGGCAGAACGCAGGAGGGGACCGGAGAGGAAGTGGACATGATCCCCAGTCTCTGCCCTCGAGGCCCAGGAGTGTGAACCCTCAGCCCTCCTCCCTCAGACCCAGGGTCCAGGCCCCCAGCCCCTCCTCCCTCAGACCCAGGGGTCCAGGCCCCCAGCCCCTCCTCCCTCAGACCCAGGGTCCAGGCCCAGCCCCTCCTCCCTCAGACCCAGGGTCCAGGCCCCCAGCCCCTTCTCCCTCAGACCCAGGGGCCCAGGCCCCAGCCCCTCCTCCTTCAGACCCAGGGTCCAGGCCCCCAGCCCCTCCTCCCTCAGACCCAGGGTCCAGGCCCCCAGCCCCTCCTCCCTCAGACCCAAGGGTCCAGGCCCAGCCCCTCCTCCCTCAGACCCAGGGTCCAGGCCCCAGCCCCTCCTCCCTCAGACCCAGGGGTTCTGGCCCCAGGTCCTTTCTTCTTATGGGACTTAGAAGTTGGGGGTACCTGTCCAGAAGAACACAGCCCCAAAGAGGCAGAGCAGAGAGGTTCTGGGGACCCCCATCGCCGGCGCGCGCTGCTGAGCTGAGGCACCTGGGACAGCTCCTCCTGCTCTGATTTGCTGCCCGGCTGGTTCTCCCTGCCGAGCCCCAGGCACCCGGCTGCGCAGCCTGGCCAGCATTCCTCCACCCCGCCCTCCCGCCGTGGGGCTGGTCTCCTCCCCGTAATGACAGTGGGGCCAGGGTGAGTCGTGGGGCTGAGGGAGGAGGGGCCCAGGTGGGTACCCCTAATTTTGGGGGGATTTGTATGCTGCTGGCTTTCTTCCCATCTCCTCCCCACTCTTGTCTCGGCTGAGGTTGCTACATATGGCCTCTCCCTGAATTTCTTCCTTCGTCCCCAACACACAAGACCCCCACCCTCAGACACACAAAGCTTCCATTCCTGGGCCAAGTCTCCAGGACCAGACACACACACTCACACACACACGCACCTCCTCTCCAAGAAGCTTTCTCTGAACCCCATCTCCCAGTACCCACCCTGTCCCCTAGCCCTGAACCAGCTGAGCTAAGCTGGTGACTCCTCCATCTGGCTGTCAACTCCTGGGGGGCCTCCAGGGGGGAGTGAAGGAATCCATGAACGAATAAACCAACTGACAGGTGTCAAGAGAGAGAGGAACAGACAGAGTTGTGAAATGCAGAAATAGAGGGGACCCTGATGGGCTTGCGTGCCCTCCGATGGTGTTTAATAAGTGTTTCTTACATGAATGAGACAATAAAAAATCCCCAGAGATACAGTGGGTGGCCAGGTGGACATCCTGGCCCCCAGGGACACAGGCAGAACTCAGACACCAGGCAGAGACGCTTCAGGAGGGGCCGGCGCTGGGCGGAGACCCCAGGTTGGCCCTCCGGACCTGGGTCACCTCTTGCTGCTTGGAGACGCTGCTGGCTTGGGTCAGACCCATGCAGTGTGCCGTGCAGCAGGTGGGTGCCGGGAGCGTGCACAGACCCAGCATCATGGAGCCACAGGTGGCTGGGGCTGAGCCGGCATGATGGCAGTGACGGGGTGGGTCTTCCTAGTCCCCTGGGCATTGATGAAACTTGAGCCAGGTTTCCCCCGACCCCGCGCCCTTGACCTCCGTTTTCTCAGAGCACTGCTATGGTTTGAAAGTGACTCCTGCTCCCCCAATTTTTTTTTTTTTGACAGGCAGAGTGGACAGTGAGAGAGAGAAAGGTCTTCCTTTGCCGTTGGTTCATCCTCCAATTGCCGCCACGGCTGGCGCGCTGCGGCCGGCGCACTGTGCTGATCTGAAGGCAGGAGCCAGGTGCTTCTCCTGGTCTCCCATGCGGGTGCAGGGCCCAAGCACTTGTGCCATCCTCCACTGCACTCCCGGGCCACAGCAGAGAGCTGGCCTGGAAGAGGGGCAACCGGGAAAGAATCCAGTGCCCCGACCAGGACTAGAACCCAGTGTGCCGGCGCCGCTAGGTGGAGGATTAGCCTATTGAGCCGCGGCGCCAGCCCCCAAAGTTTATATGTTGGAATGCACCCCAAATCCATAGGTCGTCAGTCGGTGGTGTTTGGGGAGGGGCTGTGGGAGGTGATTGGGGCCAATGGGCCCCCCCACGGAGGCATCAGCAGCTCTGCAGGAGGAAGAGAGACCCGAGAGGCACCTTCTCTGTCTGCCCCATGATGCTCTCCATCATGGCCTGACACAGCCAGGGGCCCCGATAAATAAAATCTTAAAAGGATAAAAAAGATTGGAAACAAGCCGGCGCCGCGGCTCACTAGGCTAATCCTCCGCCTAGCGGCGCCGGCACACCGGGTTCTAGTCCCGGTCGGGGCGCCGGATTCTGTCCCGGTTGCCCCTCTTCCAGGCCAGCCCTCTGCTGTGGCCCGGGAGTGCAGTGGAGGATGGCCCAGGTGCTTGGGCCCTGCACCCCCATGGGAGACCAGGAAAAAGATGATTTTCCTGGCTCCTGCCATCAGATTCGTGTGAAGCATCCGCTGCACCTGACAGTCAGAGGGGGGAAGTGTACGGCGAATATGGTGCGAAGAGGTAGGTTTCTCTCTGTCTCTCTCTGTCACTGCTCCACTCTGCACTGTCAAAAAAAAGAAAAAAAAAAGATTGGAAACAAATGAGCTTCCACATTCCTTACTGAATAACATCTGTCCTGGGTACCCTGTTCCACCTGCTAATCCCCACTGTCAGGACAGCCAGCAGCAGAGGCCAGGCCAGTGGGGCCGTGAACGGACAGAGCCACGGGCAAAACACGCCTCTTTCTTCAAAAAAAATTATTTATTTATAGGGTCAGCACTGTGGCACAGCAAGTAAAGCTGCCGCCTGCAGTGCCGGCATCCCATATGGGTGCACGTTCAAGTCCCGGCTGCTCCACTTCCAATCCAGCTCTCTGCTGTGGCCTGGGAAAGAAGTAGAAGATGGCCCAAGTCCTTGGGCCCCTGTACCTACATGGGAGACCTGAAAGAAGCTCCTGGCTCCTGGCTTTGGATCAGCCCA